TTTTTTTTTTCTAAATGTACATGTAACTTCAGCCATAATAGTTAGCTGTTTCCAAGAAAAAGGCTAGGGAGAAATACATTGCACTTTAGAAAAATGTCATATTGCACACTTTTGAACTCTGGTTTATAATTTAATGAGGGAATACTTTTTGTGCTGAGAGAGTTTTTCACAATCACTGTAATAACCTGCTCAAATCAGGAGGAGTTTGAAGCCTTTACATATGCGTCCTGACTTTTAGCTGCTAAGTTATCCTGAGTTTCACCTTTACTAAGCAAATATTGTAGTCAATCCCAACTTAAATCAAACCCAAAAGGATGTTCTGCTTTTTTTTTTTATTTTAATACAAAGGTAAAACCTAGACAACTCTGGGCAGAGAAGGATGGTAAAAGAACTTTATCAAGGTTGGAAAATGAACCATTTACGAGTCAGGATATGCCAGAATGATGTCATGTCTGTGATTGAGAGAGGTAATTTGAAACTAAGCTTGAATGTATAAAATAGTTGGCACTTTTATAACGTTCTGGAAAATTGGCTCCTGATTTTCAAAGTAGGCAGTTAAACTAATGGACACTTTTGATTAATTTGGCAATGATTTCTCTGTACTTCTTTCCAACTTGTGGAATAGAGAAGATAATACTACCTAGTCTCACAAGATTAGGTGATGGTTGTGGAAAAAAAAGGCGTTAATATTTGTAAGGCACTTGACTAATTTACTGAGAACCTGTGAGTAAATTAATAATTTTGTATTCAGCATAGCCATTTGTGGAGTAAGTTAGACAGCAGACCATATGTTGAATGAGGAGGACAGAAAGAAATGCCTGATAACCACTCCAGAAGTCGCTGAAGGATGTATCACTGTGCCTGACAAAAGGGAACTAATGTTTGGATGTTATTAGGTCTAGTATTATTTTATCTGCTGGTGAAGAACCTCGCTAACCTTTTAGAGTGGGAGTTTCTGTACAGTTGTGTAGAGTTTAACTACCGTTTTCTGTGTTCTGTTTGCCATGTCTAGTCTGAAGACAAATCACATGGTATTTTTCAGCCTTTGAGGGCAGAAATAATCAGATCATTTATGAATCCATTTCTTGTGCTGAGCTTTTGAACTTTAATATTATCCTTTTCCATGTATCCTGCTTTTATTGTTCTAGTATCTGTTTGAATAATGTTTTCCTTGCAGGCTTAAAATCACATGCTTCAGAACCCACTTATGTGATTTCAAGTTTCTTAGGTTTTTTTTTTATATATTATTTTTATTTAGGATTTTTTGTTTCATTTTGGGCAGCGGGAGCCTGAAGGCATACTGCTTGGAAAGAACAACTCCACAGCTTCTGATTACTGCGTGTGCTTGGCAGTTTGCATCCTGCTGCACATGTGCATCACAGCACTTCAAACACAGAGGGAAAAAATATAGTGAACAAAAAGACTGAATTCCTGTGGTGTGAAAATTCAGTTTATTTTGCAGCCTTTATTTCACACTGAGAAAGAGGCTTTCTTGCTGTTTACTCCTTTGTATGTAAATCAAATTATTAGGTCTTGCTATGGGTTTTACAGGGCTAAATCTCAACCTTTTGGAGTAATGTAAATTGTTTTGACATGTAAACATGTACTAGGTGAGTTGAGCTTTTTTGAAAAAAGCGTTCTTGACGTGATTTGCAGAGTTAATTTGGTTTGAGATTTGAAGTATAGTTGAAGCAGAATTCACCAGTGATTTAGCATTTAGAATAGATTTGAGTTGGAATGTAATAACATTAAAATGTATTAAATCGTCTGCTCTTTGTCACTTCAGTGGCCGAACTGGAAAAATTCGAGTGCAGTCACTCAAAATTGGCTTGATGTCTCTTTCTAAGGGCCTCCTGGAAGAGAAGTACAGATGTAAGTAAGAAAATACTTTATAAAACGTTTATTTTATATAATTATTACATATAATATTAATACACATCATAGCAAAATTTGTGGTAAAACTTTTATCATGCTTATGTCAGGATTTATGTCCTGTCTGGAAAGTATTCATGTCAATTATGTGTCATCCATGGCAAAGGAAAATGGTGATAGTATGAGAATGTGATTGGGGATGCTAATATCGTTTTACCAATACAGGTGATCTCCCTCTTTCTCTCCTACCCTTTTGGGGAAATCTCTCAGATACTAGGCCTCAGGGTTGACATGAGAATGAATCTTTAATTTTAAAAAAATCATTAAAGCCTCATTAAAGAATGCCTGTTCTAGAAAACATTTAAGGATGTACTTAGCTTCAAGCACATGCCAGGATACATGAATAAAATTGAATAAGGATGGACCTGCAAACAAAACTATTGCCCAAGGCCCAGCTACCTCTCTGCCAGCAGAGTAAATAGTCCAAAGCTGCTTTTTGGCCGGCGAGGCTGATGAGCTGGTCTGGCTGCATCCGTGTTATTAAACTCCCATTAGCCCCCAGAACGGGGGGCCGCTCGTGAGCTCACTGCTGCAGGTGAACCTGGGCCCTATCTTGCTCTCAGATTGTTGCTGGCTGTTTTGGGAGCAGGAGTGAGCAGCCTCTGCTCCCAGTGTGCCGCGTTCCCCTCCAGCAGCAACGTGCCGCTGGCTGCCCCAGGGCCTCGTGCACTGCTGCGTTTGCTGGCATAGGTATGGGAAAAATACCTAAAAAATTAAACAAAAAAGCTAAAAAACAAAGAGAGAATGTGCATGACAAAACATACTACTTGCTTTAGCAATCTACTCTAATTCTGAAATACTCAGAACACAATAAAGAAACTCTGCTCACTGTTCTTTGCTCTTTCTACCAGCAGTTCTTCACATGCTATTGCAGGACTTCTGAATGTCACAGAAAAAAAGGAACATTTTTAACCACTCAATTTTAGTGTCACGAATGTTCTTGGAAAATAAATTTCAACCATATAAGTAGGCATTTGCACTGATAAAAAAATTAAGTTTGCATGTACAATTATTCAGAGCAGATTTTAGCCCTGGTCGTTCATTCAGGGGACAAATGCTGTCTCACAGGTACAAATTTATTGAGCGACAAGATGACTTTTATCTTTCCTCACTTTTAGAGGTAGAAAAAAGCCACATTGCTGTCACAGTGTAACATCTGGGAGTACATTTGTGTGTGTTTTGCTCTTATCTTAAGCTCATTTTCGACATGAAACCCAGATGGAACAGCAATTGAAACAGAGAAAACATTCATGAAATGTTTTATTTATTCTGTAGGCATTGGGTCATATCATTTAATATCATTTAATGATTAAAAGGTATACAATTTGAGGTGAATAAGAAGGGCTACTTGAAAAATCTCTACTATGAAAGAGCCAGTTCAATAGCAGTGTGCGTTTATTTTTTTTTCTTTTTTTTTTTCCTTATGTATCAAAATTATTCTTTGGTACATATTGCAAATCTTCAAACCATTTGGAAATAACATTGTGCTACTTGAAAATCTGTGCATCCTGTTTGTACAGCATGCATATGAACAAATGGTGACACATTTTCTCTTTTGTATATTTCTAATTAAATCCATATTCAGCGTAATTAGGGCATCTTTATCCCTAAATTCCTTGCAGCTGCTTGGATGCTTCAGGTTTGACAATGCTACGTTTGTGGTTTGATGGCTCAGCAACCTCAGCAAAAGAGACAAAATGTGTGTGCAGTGGATATTTTTTCTACTATTTTGGTGGAAACTGGGCTTAACTTTTCTGCACTTTGCAGTATCTTGCATACCAACCGATAGCTGCATTTTTTCAGGTTGTTTGGCTGCACAATAGTTTGAGCCTCACTGACTCTCATCTCAAACATTAGTGTGGCTGTGTTTAATTTTAGATTAACTGATCTTTTAGTTTCTTTTCTGATCGATTTCTTTTCCCCTACGACTCAAGTCTGAATAAGCCTGTCTTGCTTCCAGTGTCATCCTTTCGACAGAGTCCCTGGATGCAGTTCAACGTTACATAAATGCAGACTTGCCCCATGCACGCATACGTGTGTAAGCCCCCACACGGCGTGTGCACGTGAACGTGTCCTCTGCTTGTGCGAGTGCTCAGGCCGTGGCTCCTGGCACGGCTGGTGGCTGCTGCGTGGCCGCGGGCGCCCCACGGCATCACAGACTCACAGAGTGGTTGAGGTTGGAAGGGACCTCTAGGGATCATCTAGTCCAACCCCCCTGCTCCAGCAGGGACACCCAGAGCACGTGGCACAGGGCGGCATCCAGGCGAGTTTGGAAGATCTCCAGAGAAGGAGACTCCACAGCCTCTCTGGGCAGCCTGTTCTGGAGCTGCTGCCAGGTGCCTCCCTTGCTGGGGTGCAGCTGAAGTCATCAGAGAATAGTTCTTCTCCCAGAGCCCATTTCCACTGTAGGCAGATGCAAACAGAGGCAGCGCTGGGCAAGGCAGCTTTTACCCATCGGTTCTTAAAATCTGGCACTAAGTTACTGGGAAACTGCTCCAAATGCGGTGGAAAAAAACAGCCAGGATTTAGAAATGCCAAAATAAGTTTGCAGTTTGAAGTGTGCAAATACTTTTGTCAGTGTTTTTTCCCTCGCCACTAAGTGCTGGAGATGCTGTAGCTTCTGTTTAACTAGGCAAGAAAAAAAAAAGTGAGAATTTAGTTTGGTCAGCTGGACTTTCATTTTATGAAAATCCTTTCCTTGGCCTCAGTCACCGTTGCAAAGGAAAAGGTCTGACCCATCTTTCTTGAAGCACACTGACAAAGCTTGCCAGTTACTCCGAATGAAGGACAAAATAATTTACAGAGTGTCATAAAAAAAGTTTCTCTTAGATATTTCTGAACAGAGCTTGTCTGTTCCTCAATCAGAAGGACAGTCAGACTGAGTTATAAAGTTTTATTTATTTCTAATAGTGGCTGTTCCAGTAGCAGAGGTGAAAAGCAGGGGAATTGTACAAGCAGATTTTGTTTTTCTTCCTTTTAAGACTGCTGCAAGCTTTAATTGAAGCCAACCACTGAGTGCAAAAGCAAAATGAAAAAGCTAATTGGAAAGAATACAAAGCATTCACTTCTGTTTCTTTTGTAGTTTATACCAACCATGAGGATATTTTCAGGAGAGATTAACCTTGTGACTAAATATGAATGCATAGAACTATATAGAGATCATGATTAAATCAAGGATTTGCTCATGATTAAATCAAGGACAGATTTGGTTTTCTATAAAAACATGTAGCCAAAAATTTTAACACATTTCTTTGTGTTTTTCCTGTTTACATACTTTTTTAGTGAAGTCAGAACTTATGAAATACTTCCTGTACTGCAGTCAGTCCTATTAGTTCATACTAATGAATATACCATGGCTTGTAAGTGGATAGAGCCACAGGAGCATCTTATGATACTTCTGCAGTACTTCTCCTCTGTTTCTGCTTACTGCTTTTGTAAGCTTTCTTATCTTACAAATGTTAAAATCTTGGGGTCTCGCCTCTTGGATCTACTTCTTGATACAACCACCTGCAGTTTTCTCCTAAGCCTCTTTAACTCTTGGAGTGCTATTTGAAGGAGGATGAGCTGCTTCAGAGCCATGAGTTCCAAAACCCTGGAAAGGCAATATATATGCACCTGAGGTACATACATTTGACATACACATTTCATGCCATACTTCCGAACGTATCAACTGCAAAGATGTAATAACATTTTAAATGACCCCCTTGCTAGTTTTTATGCAGCTCACCATTTAGGCAGAAGCGTTCAAGTAATGCTGCAAAGAAAGGAGAAATAAAAATTGTGAGGATCAGGATGTCAGGTTTGTGAGGATGTCAGGATCTGTCATCCGTACCCAGTAATCAGTGCAGACACCCTCAAACCACTTGACAAGCCCATACATTTGCTGATTTTCAGATGAATCGAGTGTTTTGCCATCCAACGGCCCCCTTGCAAAACTACTGTACTTCCCAGAAAATATCTGGATCTGGAACATTTTTCTTGATCCTTCTGGCCTCAATTTTTCCTTTTGTCGCAATCATCCCAGTACTTCCACTTATGCTACGGAGCTTGAGATGCACCTTGGGAAATGGAATCAGGGAAAGTAAAGTACCTGGAGGTGGATGTGATTATCGAGGAAGCAAATGTGACTATTGTTAAGTGTGAGTTATTTCACTGGCTGCTGTTCTTGTTTTAAGCTGTGGCCAATTCATGCTGTTTCTAGTCTCAGTCAGAGCATGTGTGATTCTGTCCCAAATCAATCCAAGGATGGCTTAGACTTTTGGCGTTGCTGAAATACCAATTTTTTTTCTTTCTCAGTGATAGCAAAGAAAAAAAAACTAATAAGTATTAAGGAGGAGATTAAATAATGTTGGATTAAAACAAAAAGCTATTCATATTTTCTGATGTTTCTCTTATTTTGTCACATAGCTGCTCCTAAGTAAATCAGGAAGTACATGGGTTACTATTACGGTATAATTTTGTTAGCAGATGCTGTAAGATGCCATAGAGTTTAATTTATATGGCCTGGCACTCTTGATTTGTTTACTCATTAAGAAAAAGTAGGCAGAATAATCAAGATAAATAGAACTACTGTAGACGGGACAGTTGGCCATCTGTAAGTCTGTCTGGGCTACAAAAATTACAAAATTCCAGCTGCAGGATCAGTGCCTAAGAGGAGAGTAGATGGCGCAAATGGAGCTCTCACCTCTCTCTGGGTTGCAGATCTCTTCAAGGAAGTGGCCGGCCCCACGGAAATGTGTGATCAGAGGCAGTTGGGCCTGCTGCTTCACGATGCCATCCAGATCCCCCGGCAGCTGGGAGAGGTGGCAGCCTTTGGTGGCAGTAATATTGAACCCAGCGTGCGGAGCTGCTTCCAACAGGTAAGAGGGTAAAAACCTTCCCGTGGAAAAATCTCTTCCTGAAGACTTGGAACTTACTCTTGAATGATGCAAAAAGGAGAGAGGAATTTAAAAATATCCAATGAGTTTTTGAACAGAAGTGTGCAAGCAAGTAAATGTGGGAAGTTATTGTCAAAATGCATCTGTAAAGGATGATTAATTGTTCAGCAGAAGATCAAACAAATTACTTGCTCGCAGGAAGAATTTATAAATCCTTGTGTTATAACAATATTGGCATCTCCAAATGCTGTTAAAACTTTTTTTTGTAGCAGCCAATTATCCAGCCCTGCACTTTTCAAAGCAAGCTGATATTGTGAGAACAACATACTTCTCCCTGCTGCAACAAGGCATGTTCTCAACAGAACAAGAAAATGATGTTGATGCTAATTTTTGACCCCGCACATCAGGAAATTATTTAGCATTATTTTTCTCATGAAAGAGCTTACAGATGTACAAAATTTCAAGCATAGTCATTTATGTATCCTAAGTCTTTATACAGCAGACAAGAGCATAGAAGAAAATGGTCGTGTGCCTGCTGTTCAGCTCCAAACTGCATGCAGGGGGTTAATGAGGCTGCAAGGAGCGTCTATGTTTTTAAAGAAGATGGGAAGAAAAACGGGATATTTTAATGGAACAGAACCAAATACAGAACTTGTCAAGGATGCCTGAGGGCTTTGCCTGTTTCGTAGTGATAACTAGACTGTTTAAGTGTATTGTTTCTAAGGCAATGACTGCTTTGGGCGCTGTCAGCACCTATATATGTATTAAAAATCACTATGCCACATGTAAAACTCCTGACTTTGAACAATATTTGTGACTGTATTATATCCAACAGATAAAAACTTCCAGAACGTTTTTCTTTCACCATTCTTTTATAGACACATCTATGTTTCTTTACAGTGCTGTGAAAAATGCAGTTGTCAGCTTTTTTTTCCAGGACTATTAGATTAATTTCTGGGTTTTGAAATGATTAGAATTGAGAGAACGTTTGTTCCAAACATGAGTACATTTGCTAGATTGGTATGGAAACTGGTTGACCAAATTAACCAAATAAGATTCTCCCTGAGGTTTTAACATTGCTCCTTCAGACAGTAGGAGATAGTGCTTGACATATCTATGGCTGGCCTCCAGTGGTTGAAGTCAGGCTGAAGTGAATTCCTCAGCTGTTAGGGGCAGCCTTGGGGCCCCAGGGGAAGGATGTTAATGTGCCTGGAGGACGTGCCCCTCTCCTGTGCGGGAGAGGCAGCCCAACAAGGGGTTCTGCACGTGCCAGAGGTGCTGCCAGAGCCCGCGTCGCAGCCGCGCGCTGCTCTCCAGGAGCGCCGCTGCCAGAGCCATCTCGGGGGCTGCCTTGGGGAAACACGTATTCTGCTCGTGGGGAAAGCGCCTTCGTGCTTAGTCCTTCCTTCTTTGCTGCTTCCTGACCAGCAAAGACCTGCATGGATTGTGAGGAGCTTAAAAATACTGGTGGTCATATCGTCCTGTTCAAAAATAACTTTAAGTTGTGCTCTGTATAATTGCCAGGGACTCAGAATAGCAACCTCTGTTCTTACTGCTTCAAAATATGTTTAATATAATTGGTTTTTAGCCAGGCTTCTCTGCTGATTGCAACTGAGAATATGGAAACATGTTTATTCAGTTCCTAAAACAATCATCTTACTATTTTAACTGTACTGTATTCTCAGTGTTTGCCTTTACAGTGGCACATTTGTTTTCCTTTTTTTAATATTTATATACTTGCTTGTTTGTTTATCTGACATGCTAACTTGGAAGAGTACCATGGGCTCAGAATACAATTAATGTGTTTTTTGTATATGCAGGCAGTCCTGACTTCTAGTGATCTGGTACCCATCTGTCAAAAAAACAAACATATTTTTGGTGTGTCAGAAATAACAAAACATTCTTCCCCTTAGTGTTCCTTGTTTCTCAAGTCCTTTTGGTTCAAAAATGGGTTTATTATGACTGTTCCTTCTTTATTACCTTCTGATTCCCCTGTCCCAGTTGTTTACTCCTATGACCAACTTCACTTGTTGTTTTTCCATAGCTGGTTTTACATTAACCTGGCTTGGAAAAAGGTGGCACAGGAGTTGCTTTGGGGAATTGAATTCCAATTAAAATATGTTTGTGGGGTTTATTAATTATTTTTGTTTGTTTGCTCACCAGAACCACAATAAACCAGAAATCACTGTAAAGCAATTTATAGATTGGATGCGGTTAGAGCCCCAGTCTATGGTGTGGCTACCAGTTCTACACAGAGTTGCAGCTGCTGAAACAGCAAAACATCAGGCCAAGTGCAACATCTGCAAAGAGTGTCCAATTGTTGGCTTCAGGTAAGAGGGAAGGGAGCTGAGTGCGGGGTTTTGACAGCTGATTTACATCTCCCAACAAAACCAGTTTTTTCCTGTTTGCTTGGGCCGCTGCCTTTCAGTCTCCTATAGGACTTGCTGCTCTCTGCCAAGCGGGTCTGTGGCAGGTGTGCAAGGAGTGCAGGCGTCGAGTATTTTGGCACTGATGGATGCAATAAGTAGCAAATGAAGTATAAATAACCAAAGGCATGACACCAAAAAGAGGTGATCAGTGAGAAAATATATATCTTTGTTCATATCTATATCTTATACAGAATGAGAGGACAACACAGGCTGGCCGTCTCTGCACTGTTTTGCAAATAATGTTTGTGAAATAAAGCAACTTGTACTAGCCAATATTAAATGACCCTCAGCAGCAACCTTTCCTTGCTTGGTGCAAGTGTTAATATATTGCTGTGATGAGACTTGCACAATTCCTGGCTGGAAGCACCGAACATAATCTAACTTTGGTCTGTTCAAAGGGAGCCTATGAATTCTTAAAGAAAAAGATAGCTCCAGGGATATTCTTTGTTACTGAGATAAACTGTATGATTGTAGTATAAATCACTATCACTGAGCATTGGATGGTTGGTACCTTTGTGTGGTCTGTTATGACTAATATACATTTGTGTATTGATTGCTCCAACACATAAAACGATATGGAACAAAGTAAGGGAGAAGGGCTAAACATAACAGGCTGTCCTGTATTCTTGAAGCTGTATGTTTTCTATGTAGGGCAGTCTCTCCTGTAAGTGATTTGAGTGCTTTTCCTAGGCAGATGAGTCACTTTGTTCCCCATGCTTTCTGTTCCTCCTTCCCTTTGTTGCGTTAAAGGACAGTAATACAGGAATCTCAGGGTCAGATTCATCTCACCTAGCCTTGAGCATACTAGCTTTAATCAGACTTTTAAGACTGAGCTGGTGACCGTCTTTTCTATCAAAATAGAGAGGAAAATACTTCCAGAAGCACCGAATTCAGTCAAACGTTGTTGCTTGTCCTGAGATGAGATGAAAATTCCTCTAGATATTTCTACTGTTCTTAATTTAGGCTGCAGGGAACCAAGGGTGGCTGAGCCCCAGTGTGGATGCCTGACTTTTAGTTGAGAAGCAAGGACAGCTGAATCTTTTCTGTGCTGACCTTTCTTGGGTGGAGAAGAAAAAGGGGCACATAGAGACAGAAGACAGATAACTTGAGTGTGCATGGAGAAGAAGGGAAGACAAAAGAATGACTCACCCTAAATCATCTCTGTAATGAAGCTGGAGATCTGCAACAGCAAAAGCATCTCACATCTTAGCAGAAGGTGGATGTGGCCATTTAACACACAGGCTCCGAATAAAGTTTCTAAGCAGTTGCATAAACATCCTTAAAAGTGAACCTTTACGTTCATGCACGCATATTGTCTCGCAAAGCAAAACATAAAACTCAGCAGGGGAAAAATGTGGATTGGTGCTGAAAACTGCTCTCAGAAAGCAATTTAATTTAAACTTTAACTATTCAGAAGCTCTTCAATTTGCTTCCGTTAGCTCATTTTAGTTTCATACTAATGATACAACCTCATCCAATCAAAACTGCATGCTATAAAAAAGAGTGGGTGGAATATAAACTTGAATTCTTTAGTCAACTATAGTGAAAAAAAAATGAAAAATTAAAACTTTAAATAAGTCTACTAAATTCTTAAACTTTAAATTTCATGAACAGTAAGCAAGTTTTGTGAGTTTTAGGGTCCGATTCATGAATGTAGAATTTCTGAGCATCGAAAGGATGGAAAAACATTTAAAACAACTGGTGAATATTAAAGCATGCAAACTTGAACCACTCTGGTTTATAAACTTTTTTTCTACCAACTGATGACTAAAGAGAAGAAAAAAGCTTAACGCAACATAATTTTAAGTCGGTTCAAACTCCGAAATTACAAACTCTTTGCATTTTGTCTGTAGAGCTGACCCTTTCCTGGATTTTATCTGCAGGTTTGTACTGTGCAAGGCTTTCTGTTTCCAAGGGAGTTGGATAGCAGTTGATTCACAGTGGCTCTCTCTGTGGCACTGAGGTTAAATTTGTTTGTTTTAATCCCACATTCAAGTGCCCTTTGCAGCCTGGAGGTGTCGTACCAAGTGCTGGGGGTCTGTGGGCTTCCTGTGGGGGCATCTCTGCAGCGCCTTGCCCCGTTCCCGCTGTCCCACAGCCCGCTGTCCCACTGGGTGCCTTCCCAGACCATCCTGACAAAGCCACCGGGCCCCAGTGCTGCTGGAGAGCAAGGGACACCATCGCAAGGGTCGTTGGCCTCATGGCACTTAACACCAGGTAAAAGCCAGCAGTGAACCTAGGAAGGGCTCATCGTTTTGCTTGGTGTTTCCACAGGTACCGAAGCTTGAAGCATTTCAACTACGACGTCTGCCAGAGCTGCTTCTTCTCTGGCCGTACAGCAAAGGGGCATAAATTGCATTACCCAATGGTGGAGTATTGCATACCTGTGAGTACCTATTTACTTACCGCGCCCAAGCGACTGGTTTTTGCATAATTTGTCATCTAGAATTTGATCTTGACTGTTTTGTTTTGTTTTGTTTTTTTGTTTTTTTGTTTTTTTGTTTTTTACAATTGGCTATTCATTCAGGATATATTTTTTAATGTATACATGTATTTTTGTGTGTGTGTCTGTATGTGTATGCATACACAAAATATTTAGCAGGGCTTGCCCTTCAGCATTTCTCTCTGAAATTCATTAGAGATGTTGCTATTGCTACTGATTTTATTGGGGCAGTGCTTGGATTCTGTAGAGAGAGGGTAGCAGTATCTACCTCTGAGATAACTTCATATTTATTCTATGAAATAAACCTGAAATAACTGAATATAACTGTAGTATGGACACACATGTGTGCTGTTTGTGAGAGTGCGTGTTGAAGAAAGTGGACCTGCTTTACCGTTGTCATGTCCTAGTAAACAATATTTACTATTTTAGTAATGTAATATAGTGCTTTAAAGGTGCACAAGCATTGCTTCAGGTCTGATGTTTTGCTTGCTCCAACCAAATGCAATTGGAAATACATTTCACAAACTGTTCCCTTAAATAATTTATAATTTATAATTTATTTGGAATATTTAAAGATTAGTGTGTGACTGGAAAAAAATATTTTTTTTTTTAAATCAAAAAGGGTGTGAGTTATGACTAGATTAGCTAGGAGAGAATGACTATATAATTCATCATTTTATTGATGACATGCGTAAACAAGTTTTTTCTGAGGAATTTCTGGAAGACTTTCCTGAGTTGAGTTAATGGCCAACTTTAAATAAACATTTTGGTTTTCTGGATTTTTGCTCGATGATCTTTTACATTCAATAATCATCTTAAGCACAAAATAATAAGGTGATTTATCTTTCATTTAAATCACAGTGCTCAAAGTTCAGTGTACTGAGAACTACAAATTTGGGTTGGAATGTGGCTTTCTTTTATAGAGCTGATTTCTAATGCTGTTGCAAGAGCCTATGGGTTCTTTTATTAGCAAAAATATCATTGACTTACTCATCTGTCTTTTGCTTTAGTAGGTGGGATTATTAACTGTGTTTTCCCCTTTTTCATTGTATACATGCCTTCAATAGCAGAATTCAAAATCTATGAAGTAGTGTTTACTCTTCATTATAATCAGAACCAACCATGACTTATGTTAATTTGGTTTCATTAATTCTATAACCCAGTGTTATGATTTGGTTGTCAAATTTGCATGTCAGATACTGTGGCTATGTATATGAAACTGCTCTGAAGAAATATTGTTGTAGATTGCAGTTTTGTTGTTTTTCAGCTAGTTTTGATGTTCATTATATTTTGTCATTATGTTACTCTTTACATTTTCTCTTTTCCCTTCTCACCTTCTTGAAAGCTTATTGGCAGATTAAGGGCTCTCTTTTGAAAATTATAGCACTTACGGGGGATGGAGGGATGTTTTGTGTTAAACATAATTGTATTTAACAGAATGGGTGGACACGTGCTGAATATAAAACATTTTATAATATTTCAGTACATTAAATATATATATATACACACTCCCTATTTTTTCCACTTCTAATGTATATTCTTAGCATCTGTTATATCTCAAATTGGTTTGGGATGCAGTTTAATTTTTTTGTCATCTTTCATACAGTTGTATCATTTTTTGCTTTTTTTATTTATACTATTTTCTTAGTAGGATGTAAAAGCACAGTTTTCCCTGTGTTGAGATGTCAGATATTTTACCTTTGGGACAGGTCTAGAGCATTTTCTTTCTTATTAAAAATGTGGTGTTTTTAATGAGTATTTTAATATGATGTAGTTAAAGAAATACTTTTTCCATTTGGTAAATGCTATTTTTTTTGTTTTTTCTCTCAAATATTCAAAAACATACTCATAAAAGAGAGAGAACCAGAAGCGATAGTTTGCTTACCTCCTTAGCCAATGTAACCAGAAGAAAATCTGAACATATGTACTCTGTTTTTCATAGATCCATGCCCTTTTCCAGATCAGAGTCTCCTTGTCCTTCTTTTCAGGTCATATCATGGAACATCTATTGTTAATGTCTATGATACACAGAAAATTCAGAAGTGAAGGCATAAGGTGTTGTGAAATAGATGAGGCTTCTGATCCATGTAATAAGATATCCTTCCTGTAACATTAGTCAGAAACATGTAGG